ACAATCCTGTCTTCATTATCTGATATTCTATCTCCAGATTCCCTTAATCTGCTGTGGATACTTTAATGGAGTTTTTGATCTCCTGAATATCTGTTTCAATCTGTTTCATGGATTCCATTTCTTTCTTATGTTGGGCGATCATAGTTTCCATTTCTTTCTTATGCTGGGTATTCATGGCTTCTATCATATTTCTGGGATCATCTATTTTTTTGATCTGTTTCTGTTCTGGCTACTCTAATCATGTCTTTCACTCTGCTCACCATCTCTGTAGATATCTCGGAGATTATTTCTGCTTTGAATTTTTCTAGAGCCTCATTCATCTGTTCTGTTACTTCCTGTGCTATCAGTTCAGGGTATCCAGGTAGTTGGTTATGGGACTTTTCCATCTCATTTCCCCCAGGATTTACCCTTGGTGGGGTGGTAGACTGAGTTTGTGCCTTGCTTAAATGTCTTCTCATTTTTGTTTTTGGTACTGTCCTTGGTTTAATTCCTGGGTTGATAGTTTGAAATTGCAGCAGTAACTTTGGAACCAGACAACCTCAAGATTTAAGGAAACAGTGTTCATGACACTGTTGCTGATAAATTGAGCAAAATATTATTAGAGGCTAGAGAAAGGAACATTTGTATATGTAATGACAAATTTTAGCAAACCTAATGCTTAAGATAATGAAGAAAATATCTAATGAGCTGGTAAATTCTAACTTTAAAAAAAATCCATACTGAATATCAAAGTGTCAGCAGTTGCTTTATCTACATATTAGAACATATGGATGGCAATGAGTTAAAACCACTCACTTTTCAAGCAGAATTTATAGGAAATAACAAGGAATTTGTCTCTCCAGAACCCTCTCTCCAACTTTGTAAGAAGTGGCTGGAGGACAAAGACCAAAAGCAGAATTTGACTATAAGACCCTGTGCTAAATTTCTTCATGTATTTAAGGTGGTGCTTCATAGAAGCACTCAGTTATATAAAAGTATGGAAGAATCTTAAGGTCTTATAGCCTAGACCCTAATTACCATGAGAATATGAATGCTCCTATAAT